TGAATCATAAGGTGTACTTAGTTTTTCACACATGGCTTCTCCATTTTGGCTTTCTTTTTGTAAAATAAATGACAGTGTAATATGTGTTGTTATCTGAGGTTGTATTTACCTACTTTTGAGAACTGCTAAGGACTAGATGATTTTTATTATGTCCTGATACATAAAACCATAGATCTCAAAGAGGGTGTACTTTCTTTTTCACACGACTGTATTTCCCTGAAGGGATCTTTTAGATAAGATTCCTGGCTTTTGTCCTCTTTGCTTTATGTGCCTGCTTCACCTTTTAGTTATGGCAGCTTCAGCCTAGTCTCACACAAGATGGCTGTGATTTGTAAAGGTACTCCCTCTCTTTTGCTCAGAGACAAGCAAACTGTTTTATCAGCTTTGCAGTCATGAAGCATCTTAATCTACTAAACTGTTTCTTCTGACTGTGAAGTCTTATCCGGTCTTCTCTGCTTTTCAGTGCCCTGTCCAGGATTTACCATCTTTACTCATCTAAATGTTAGGAAGTTCTATAAAAACCGGTACAATTTCTTGACTTCACAGTTGTATCTTTTGATTATAATATCTCAGTTCATATGATTCTTATGGCTACTTCATTTCTTGTATCCTGATTTTTAAGGTGGCATTTCTGATTATCCCAACCCTGGCTTAAAAACAGATTTTGCCCAGACATTAATTTTCTTCCAAAAAAAACAGATAATGTTTTTGAGGTCTTTCACCTCAAAAACATCATCTGTTTCCAGTCTTTTTTTTAATATCCAATTAACTAAAACTGGTACTTTACTTCTGGATATGACATGCTCATTTTCTGCACTGAATAAATGAAAGCCTTTTATAGTCCTTTTATGGTCCTGTGTCTGCTCCCAGCCTCCCCCAGTGCTTCTCTAGTATCTTCCCCCAGTATCATTTTCACCATTTGCATAGCTTATGAACAGGCAAGTTTACCTCCTTCAGGCCCAATGAGGGGCCAATTCAGTTATGGCAGGGTTAGGCAGATCATGGGCCCCTGCCTTCATTTTCAGTCCCCAGAGTACCTCTAGCTCACACTGCTTGCATTTGCATCAAATTGTGGCTCTTCTTTTTATATGAAAAAGATGCAGAAACAAGTATTAAGGCTCCACATGCATCTATTTATCTATTATTATATGTCTGTCTATTCAGGGGTGTAAACACTTTTAATCTAATATATAATCAGTTTTAAAAAGTAAATACGAATAACATTAGTCCAGTTCAAAACACTTGGCTGATGGGGCAGATTCCGTTTCTGCAAGCCAAAAAAGGATGGCTAACACAACCATTATGGCAGCTTATTTCTTAACTTGGGATAAATGTCAGTATGGTTTCCTCCTCCTGAACCAACATCTGTCTAATATAAAAATAATACTTGTGAAACAATCCAGTAACTTTGCTACAGAGATTTTACATGCTTGAAATATATGTGGGCTTTTAGTGTCTAATCTTTTAAATTGTTTTTGCTTCCTTTTGATAGAATGGATTTGCTGTAGTTAGACCTCCTGGTCACCATGCAGAAGAAAGTACGCCTATGTGAGTATGCGATTGTACTTGGACTGGGAATTTTAACTTGGCTGGGCACTTTATTGGCTGCTAGCACTCTTTATGTGCTTCTCCAGAATAGTCTGTGAATGGGGGACCTATTTTTTTTAAGCATTTGGAGGGCTTGGGGTGGGATTAAGGGCAAAATGGGTGCCATAAGCCTTGCAGAAGTTTAAAGCCTCCATTCATCCCTTCAAAAATGCCAAAACATTTAGGCAATTTTCCAGTTGTTTTGGGGGATTAAGAGGCAAAATAAGACACCCATGAAAACCTAGCTTTGCCTTTCTGGAAGCATTTCTATGTTGACTTCTTAACTGCTGTGGCTCTTGGCTACTGAAAATAATATTTTTTAAAATGTGGCTGTCACCAAAAAATTGTGGATGAATCACAAGAATTGTGAGAGTGTTGTTGGGTTTTAAAACAATAATTTGCTATATTGACCAAAAGTGACTTGACTTGAATGTTGAAATTGTTTAATGTATAATGTATAATTGTATAATTTAATTAATGATCTGTTCAGGAAATAGATCAGTATATCTACATTTTGGAATAGTAACAAAACAAAATTGTAAAATTATTGTTACCCTTGGAAGACTTTTGAAGCTGGTGTTCAGAATTTCATATTTTTCACTTATAAATCTACTCTTCCATTTTCTTGTAGGGGTTTTTGCTATTTTAACTCTGTGGCCATTTCTGCCAAGCTTCTCCAGCAGAGATTGAATGTGAACAAAATCCTTATAGTGGACTGGGTGAGTGAACCAACATTTGTTTTAAATACACGTCCTTCAAGCTGAGCAAGGGTGGGCCCCCTGAGTCCCTTTTTTGTAGCTCCCAGCCCCATTTTCACAGACCCCATTTTCAGAATCCCACCAAGATACATGATATAGCCCCATTTTTTTGCATCATTTTCTTGCTCACAGTGATGTTACAAGTTACCCACCCCTGAAGAATAGGTACAAAATGCAAAACTGGCAAAATCTCAGTAAACTTTCAAAGAATACAGTAGAATTATTGATGCAAAGCTTCCAAGTACCAAACATGCCAGTTGTGGGGAATCAGAGGAGAGTTAAGCAACTATGTTTACTATTATGTTTTTGTTTAGTTAGATCAGAATTCTAATAGGATAACAGAGCTCAGCAGAGTTACATTTACACTGGAGAGTAGTTCCCTTTCAGTTACAAAGGCTTTATCCTTCAGTGAAAGTTAACTGCTGAAATAAAGGTGTACCTAAAGAAAGAAAAATCAATTTAAAATTTGTTGAAATAGTCAGCAAACTGGTGATGTCAAAAATAGTGAAAACATGATACAAAATGATGTAGTTTATGACATTTATACCTGCCCTCTGGTTCTCCACATGGGGTGGGCAGCACACCCATGGAGAAGTTGATGGGATTCTGGGTTGAGGCAATGGAGCACAATTCTGCCTCTTCACTGGTGCTAAGGTCTAGATTTTCTATGCCCAATCCACGAAGTGGCCTGTCTTGTTCCTTCTCCAGTGAGAGTGGCTTAGACCATGCGAGATAGATCAAGTATCAAGTCAAGCATTTGCTGAATGCAAAATCTTCAGAGGAATAGAACATTAGAGGGTTTTCCTCCTCCCCTAGGTCCTGTTAACAACAGATATCCCAAATAGTAATGACAGTCTTTGTCTGTATACTATATTTCTTGCAGACATTTTGTTACCAGTTAGGTAACGTCTTCAGTGCTAGAAGGGAATAGGGTTTGCTCTCATTGGCAGAAGATGGCATCAGAAGATGGCATCACACAAACCAACTAAAGCCCTCCAAAACATCTTAAGCAAACCAAAAGACCCAGTAGGCCAAGAAGAAAAACAGGAGTCATCTACAATGTGCAGTGTAAGGACTGTAACAGCCACTATGTAAGGACAGACAGGCAGAAGATTGGCAAAGCACATCCATGAACACCAACTAGCAGTCAAAAGACATGATGAAAACTCCTTAATCTCACAAGACAGGGACAGACTTAACCATAGTTTCAACTGGGAAATTGTCAGCATCTTCCTGGAAGCTTGGTATTCAGGCAAGTCAACTATCAACAGGCACATAGAGATAAACAACATTTATACACTATTCAAAAGAGACAATAAAAAGGAAACAAAAAGGAAGCTTGGTATTCAGGCAAGTCAACTATCAACAGGCACATAGAGATAAACAACATTTATACACTATTCAAAAGAGACAATAAAAAGGAAACAAAAAGGAAGCTTGGTATTCAGGCAAGTCAACTATCAACAGGCACATAGAGATAAACAACATTTATACACTATTCAAAAGAGACAATAAAAAGGAAACAAAAAGACCAGAACACCTCCTCGCCAGCAATCAACACCCAGATAAGCAGGGATTAACATCAGGCAAACAATCAAGCAGTTAAACAATACCCTAATCAAGGAATTAGCAACACAGACAATCAAGCAGTAAACAATAGCCTAATCTAGGAATTACCAAGAAAAAACAACTCCCCTGCCAACACTGACAGAACAAGCTACTATATATAAACAGAGAGCAAACCCCACTCCCTTCTAGCACTGAAGATATTACCTAGCCGGGTAACAAAATGTCTGCAAGAAAACAACCAAGCTCAGAGAACCTCAAGGACTCCACAGGGTCAGGTTCAGCTGGCACTGCACGCCTAGGAACTTGCCCAGCCGCACTTTAGTCAATTTCACCGCTCGAGCGCTAGCGCAGAAAGAGGAAAGGCGAAATCGCAAGCTAATGAATGGGACACCTGGCGCCACTTCACTAATCTGGAGCGGATGCGTTG